AGCCGGGAGAAGGCTGGATTGAGAGATCCAGTGCTGGGCTTCACGGGAAAATCACCTAGATTTGGTCAAAGTAGACCATTCCCCCATTGTGGTTTCACCATCCCCAATACCAACAGGGGGAACTGTGTTATCTTTTACCCTAGTGCTACTTTTAGAAAAGAACTACAGGAACATTCAAGCTGTCCAGCGACCTTGGAAAGATCTGTTGACATCGAGTTGCCTTGCTCGTGAGGCTTTCTTTATTTTGCAGCTGACTCAAAGTGACGTATGACATGCCCAAAGCAGCCCTGATCAATGAATGAACAAGCCTAGCTTGCCCCCCCGTTTGGTTGGGTTTTGTTTTGATGTGCAAACTCCTAGTTCAACCCTCCATCCTTTCCGCATAGCAGAATCACCACACAAATTCAGCTGGCAGTTGGCCTGAAACGCTGACCGACGATTGGCCGTTCATTCAATCGCCTGCGGATCCTGCAAGCTGCGAGAAACAGCAACCTCAAGGCAAGGAAGGTTCTGTCCACCCATTTTGCTATTGAGTGTGGCTTGGGTGTGGGCGACATTGCTTGCCGCAATGTGGTTTGGCTCCACACCCAGGAACCGGCTTCAATACATCCATACAAGGGCCCAGGCCCTAAACCCCAGCATCCCTCAGGCGGATTCTAATCTCAGGGACCTTCATGCCGACCAGCACAAGAACAAACAAGCCCTGGAGACTTAGGTGTTTGACACGTCTCTGCAATGGGGCTAGCATTGCAGTACGCTATATGCTTCCCTATCATATTGCTGCAGTTGGCAGAGGTGTGATGGTACACCAAACCGTCCTTGCAACGTGTGGACCATCAACCAGAAGTCCAGTGGCTTGATTTCTTCCACGCCCAAAGAGCTTGGTTTAAGCCGAAATATGCACCGCTGCGATGAGCTCTGGCAGGCCAAGCCCGCGATGTCAAGCAAAGCATCTTGGTCTGTAGATCATGTCCCAGAAGGAATGAGAACTGGGGTGATCATCAATTCTGCTTTGCCAAGATTATGCAATTTGCCCAGATGATACTTCGAGTTTTTTAATGGTCTGGTCGCTAAACGAAAGGCAGCTCATTGGAAGTGCAATCCTACCGCGGCAACACAAGGCAAACAAATCTTAGAAGGCGGGGAAGAGGGTAGGAAGGCGAAGATGAACAAGAGAATGGCCAAGCAGGACACACAGCGGCGCGCACGTCAGAAAGGGAAGAATCTCGCCAGCCAAACACGCAAAGCAAATCGCACAGTGGCCCCACTGAGTCGCTGGCCGCGTCGCCCCCGGGCCTGCGTTTCGCAGCCAAGAAACATCACAAGATGTTGACAGGTGGAGCAATTAAACACTTCAGGATGAACACAATGGATGCAAAGGACATTGGCAGGCGTTAGGCCTTGGCCCATCATTGCTATGACTTCTTGTGGCAACTGGACTGCACGGCGAACAAACATATGTGGTGGGTTGTTGGAAGCCTGCCCTGAAGCAAAGCTGACTGGGACCTTCTTCAGAAGGCCTCACAACACAACACACATTCTAAAGCAAACTGAGTTGACTTGAAAATCTAAAGTCTCAGACACATGCCCCGACTAGCCAAAATGCGATCCTCCGATTGAAGCCAACAGAAAATCAACAAGGACTGTGTTGCTCACCCTGGAAGACCAGGGTATGTATGCTGTATATTATACACGCATGTTACGTTGATAATTAGTATATGTACTCAATCTATACATCACGCGAAACTATATCCAGAGGACAACACAATTTGCATAAGAAAGGAGCTGAGAGCCAATCGGCCGCCGCCGGCATAGCAACGTTTCAAGTGGTACATGACCACCTATGTCAGAAAGTTGATTAATTTAACATGAACAAACAACAATATCATGCTCTTGATAAAATTACGTAGGCCCCAATTCTGCCATGGCAACTTCTGCTCTGACTCGTGTCTACCTCAGACATGTTTTGACCCGACCAATCTTGAACTAGAGCTGCCAGAATCCGCCCAGGGGGACTTGCTGTCCCATGTCTCGTCGCTCGTCACTCGCTGGGCCAAGCAGTGGCTGATAAGGATCCAACTAATCACCGTATGTCAGAAGGATTGGGCTTTCGGCATGGTCATGTAAGTGCGTCAGCCAAAGCCCCTGTCCAAACCTGCCCTACACCCGTCAGCTTCCGAGGTATATCAAAAACGGTAGTCTTCTTGTCGACAAACACCCTGCTGTTCACTTTATGTACATGGCTCATTCATCAAAAACAGTGTGCAGAATTACAAGCAGCTTGTCGTGCGGGGCCACAAGCTCACTTACGCCACGACAAAACGCAACAAGGGGTCAACAGCAGTTGGCCAACCGGACAAGTGAGATACCCTCCCACCAACTAACACGGAACCTCACAGGGGGTCCCCGTAGAAGGAGAATGGTCTTCCAGTACGTCAGGTTCCATGTTTGTTGGTGGGAGGGTATACGCTGCATTCCTTTTGGTGTCAACCTGACGTCTTTCAAAAAGGATCCCCGTCCAGCGACCTGGCAAGCAAAAGGGAGAGCACATGCACAATCAAAAGGAGTCACAGAACGAGTCACTAAACTCCCAACAAACGTCAAAACCTCCGCAGCCCCCATAAACCCCCCTCAAAGCCTTTGATCACCTGACACCCGTTGTCTTTTTGCATGTCTTGGCCCCGAGCCTGAGCCGCAACTGGCTGGCGCCCAAGCATACGGTCTTGGCGCCCCCCACCTGCGAAGAATTAGACTAGAGCGACGCTGAAATTAAATCAGACACTGCATATCACTGCATCATCACCACCACCACCACCACCACCATCATCATCATCATCATCATCTGGCTGGAGTTAATTTGTTAGGGTTGGCTTTCGGGTTGATTTGGGGGATTGCTTAGGCTTGCGTTCGGCACAGGGTTGGCTTGGGCAATCGGGAAACGACCTGCCCGCCCTGAGGAGTGGTTTTAGGGCTTGCTTGCGTTTGGTTTGGTCTTAGTTGCAAAGGAAGCTTAGGGTACTGATTAAAAGCTAGCTCTGGAAGACAAAAGAAGAACAAGCACGCATGAGAAAAATGCGTCCGCGAGAGGCAGGGCAAAGAAAGTGCAAATTTCTGCGGGTTTCGGTTCCTTCGGATGCTCAAACGCTACCCTGCTCGCATGTGGGGGGGGGGGGGAACCAAGGAGGGGTGGGGGGTATATACATGTACATATGATACATGTATACATACACACTAATATGCAGCATCATATGTATACACACATTTAAACAAACACATACATGTCAATGTGTACGTGTGTATATGTACATGCATGCATGCCATGTATGTATGCATCACATATATTATGTACAACGGTTCTAATATATTTGTGTGTACGAATTGAGCTTTTCCCTCCGAATGGTAGCGTCCTTTTCAGAGCCACCAGCAGGATGGTTCCCTGATTCAGCTATTCCCATGCTTCCGCTCGGTGTCTAGGTGCTCAGAGCAGGTCGTGCTGGTTGGAAGATCTGATCCCGTACTCAGAAACCTGTTGTCAGTTGTCCTCAATGCTCATCGTTCCGCTGATAGTCACGCACCTGACTTTGGTCAAATAAGACAGTTTCTCGGTCAGTAGCCCGAGTCAGTCAAGCCTCCTCTTTATTTGAGCAAAAAAAAAGTGCACACAACGGAAAAGTGCGCGTTTCAATCAAAAAACGCGCAAAGTTCCAAGAACTGCACGAGGCGTTTTTTGCTGGTTTGGGCAAAGGTGCGGGGTGTGTATAGCCTGGTCATGCACCTGTCAAGCTGTTCAAAAATGACTAGGCAAGGTTACATGCGCCTTTTCGGCCAGAACTCGCCTAGATGATCCAAGGAACCAAAGGGCATTTTGGCTATTGACCTGCGGAGCGTTGTCGGGAATAGCCTTCAACATTGCCAAGCCAGCTTGACAGTCAAGGGAAACAAGCTTCACATCCTTGAGATTGCAAGAGATCCGAACGGCTCTTCCAAGTGCGCAGCTTCAACTGACGACCACATGTGGCTCAAAACCGATCTTTTGGTTGGCAATTCGGGCGCTTTAGACATCTTCTGCCTGATTAAAAAGTCGAAAACTCGCGCATGCATGCGCACACTTTTCGTATTTGCGCGCAATTGCGGATATGTGCGCGATAGTACCGGATTTTTGCGCGCAAATGGCGGGCTGGCAAGGCTCCGAAAATCGACTAATTTCACCTATACGCGAGTTGTCTCAATAACAAGTGTGGCGCAAGCACAGTTCTGGAGCAAACAGCGGATCCGTGCAAACCCAAGCAATACTTGCGAGCTTGGAGCTATTGACGGAGCCAAGCGGGTTGCTAAATCAATGGCCACAAAGTGTCAAGTGCAAGTGATAGCTGGTACTTGTGCCGGGTGCTATGTGTGCTACAAATGTCCTGCCTAAAACAGGCTTTGGTGGAGATAAAAGAAGAGCCAGATATGCTGTAAACATCAAGGACTTCAACAAACAGCTGCGCCGGCACGGGCACGAGCAGCGCAGTATCGATTGTTTCCACAAGTAGTACCGACTTTGGCTACAAGAGGAGTTTCATCCGAAAAGTGCGCAAATCCCTCAAATTCCAAAAAAGTGCGCAAAGACACCACAAAACGCGCAAACAAGCATTTGAGCAGAAAAAAGTGCGCAAACTAAGATTCAGGAGGTCTAAGCTTAGACCTGACCTACGTGTCTTCTCAACTGAGATGAACAGCCTCTGTCCTGTGCCGGAATCGCTTGGAACCACGCATCATTGTGACTGTCTCATTGCCTGTCAGCTGCCTTTGCCTCAACTTACAAACGGGAGGCGTCTGGCCAACAGCCCGGCCTCAGGGCCCTCTTTGGCGCCGAGGCCTTTGACGAAGAAGCGCATCGCTGCCTTCGCCCAAAGTTGATTGCCCCTCTCGAGTTGAACCGCTCCAAGTCCAAGTCCTTGGCATCCTTTCGACTTTCTGTTCGAACAACCCAGTGCGCTTTCAACTTCAAGTTGAAATTCCCATGGCAAGGGTTCAAACTCTGAGGGAATGAAGAGAGAGATGAGGGGCCAAATACAGCTCTGAAGTGCTTGCTGCAGGATGTGTAGGAAAGTCTTTTGTTGAAAGCCATACTGCGATCAGGATATCTTGGGGAGGCAAACTTTGATGCGGTTCGTTCACTCAAAGCGTCAAACTGTAGCTAATGTGACCCTTGAACAAAGACAAGGAATCAGTCATCAGGATGTGTCAAGTGGGACAAGTACTGCTTTAGCAATGACATGGAACTCCTTTCAGCAATGTCCGATTGTGATACATGCTCACTTCTCATTGTGACACCTTGAAGCCGTCACGGTTTACACTTGCCATAGCTTGTGCTAGTACAATGAGGCGTTGATTGCTTCTTTGCCCTCGGGTTATGGAAGCTGAGAGAGGAAGCTGCGCCGAATTCCCAGGTTTGGTGAGCCCTTGGCACTATGGGCATCATGTTGGATTCTTAAAATTGCTTGAACACATGATGCAAAGAACCAGTTAGGGCACGTTCAACTCTTTTGAAGAGTTGCACAGGAAGCTCTGTGAGGATCTCAGCTTGATTGCACGGCCATTGATTCCGAAGAGAAACGAGTTCCGCACCTTCCCAGCCGCCTCAACGTCGGGAACTTGAAGGGTCACAAAGCCGAGAAGCAACAGGCTCTCCGCCTTGGCAAACCGCGCTTCTGGATTGCATTTCTGCCTGCCATCTGAACCAAAAAGACTTGCAAACAACTGCACAGAGGCCTTTGCTCTCATGATCAAACCATACAAATTGAGTGCTTGCGCCCAGCCCATTCTTAGCCATGCAATTGTCTGCCTAGCATGGCAGTTCTGCTGAAAGACAAAACCAACTCCTGGTCAAAGGCAAACATCTGGCAGACGCAAGCGAACACAGCTTCAGTGGGCATGCCCAACATGTCTACGCCACATGTTTTTTAAGCGCCCCTCCAACTCTGAAACATCATAAACCTATCACGGATTGCTTGCATTGCATTGCTGGGGGGCGTTGATGCTTACAGCCTTCTATGTTTGCTGGACAGGCGCTGCCAGAGCCTCCACGGGAAATCCCTGTAATCACTAGACCTCCAAACTTGTAAATGGCAGTACGGCGAGAGTCGATCAACATCTGGCAAACAGTCCGCCAGCCTTGAAATCTGAAAGTAAAACGGACAAGGAAGCGACATGGGCTGAGAATCAGAAAACACCGTATCAGAAATCTGAGAACACCCAAGTGCCTTTGGCATGAAGTACAGCGCAACACCTGAGACATGACCAGACTCGAACAATCTGTGGCTCAGGGATCTGAGAAGTTCCGGCCTTGGTTGAGGCGCCTGAAAATGCCCTACTTCCAAAAGCTTCAGAAGGAGATCCAAGCAAATAAGGCAGCCGATGTGACTTTCAGAACGTTACTCGGGAAAACGTGACTATGAGATGAGGCAATAAACAGGCAGCAACGGTTTCAGAATGACCTGGACTGCATGCTGTTTGACCTTGTCCGTCTGGGATCCCTGGGCAGGTGCTTGCGGGAACTCCGTGAGCCTCCGAGTACCTGGCAAAACACCGAACAAGACATATATCCCCCATCTTCCCCTCTTCCGGAGCCAAGTCTCAAGATGCCAGCCAATATCAGCTGCTGTAACTACGTGCATTTAGTAAAATTTAGTAGCTAGCTGTAGGGTCGAGCAGGGAGCCAACTAAGTCTTCCTGTTGAAGCCCCCATCCCAAAGTATGAATCACATAAAACCCAACTGCAATGTGAATCCTCAACGGCAGAGTGGGCCTGGAAAATTAGCTTCACATACATCATGGGCCAATAAAGATTATTGCTGTTTCAAAAGATCAAAGAAGAGACCTACACAGCATTTCCTTAAATCACTACCGACTCGTGCACATCCTTCAACCGCAAACTTCACGTATAAAAATCCTAGCGGTACCTGGTGGGAGTGGCGAGTGGCGCATGCTGGGGTGAAGTGCGTCACTGCAAAAAACACCGAAGACCACGAGTGCTTGCCCCTTGGTGCCCCTTGCAGCGCCCAACCGAACCAACAAACATGTTTTCACAGCCCCTCTCGACACACACACACACACATGCATCCTCCCAAGCTTTGATACAAAGTGATACTTATGTGTTGCACGTGGAGGATGTTCTAAAATCATTTCTCTCGAAAAATACTCTTGCGAGCCTTTCGCCCATTCACCGCCGTGCGTTTTGTGTCTCGGATTGGTACTGAACAGTTGCTACTTTCCAGCGGGAGCTTTCATGCACTACCCTTGTGCGACTTTCCAGCGGGAGTTGTGGAAGTGCATTTCGCGTACCACCCTTGTGCTGAATAGTTGCGACATTTCAGCTGGAGTTGCGGAAGTGCACTTCGCAAACTACGCTTGTACTTGAAAGTTGTGACTTTCTGACTCTAGCAGTTTAAATTGTAACTCCCCAGCCCCAGCTGCAATTTGCAGCTTTGCAGTATCAAGCGCTGCACAGACTAGCCTAGCGCTCAGAAAGCACGTCCCCTTGCAATCGAAGCCTGCGCTTTCGCGCGAGCTTTCGCGGAACTTCCGCGAAAACTTGTGCCCAAAAGGTTTCGAACAACCACCCACAATTCAGAGCGTAGAGCCAACGACTAAGAGCACACACACACACACACACACTTGGAGCACTAACCGGCCAAGCGACCAGGCCTCATCACCCAAACAAAAAAACCGCAAAAGCAACAAAGAGTGCTAATCAGTGCTATGCCTCGAAACAAAAGATACTCTGCTCTCTCGACTTACACAAAAAGGTTACTCAAGACTTGCGCGGAAAAAGCAGCTATTTTCGCAACTCCGACGGCGAATCTTTCGCGGAGGTACCTGAACCAACACCAATGGTCACTGAATACCTTGCTGACATCTCGGGATTGGGGTTCTGGGTGTTGGCTCATCCTGTCACCCCGTGCGACCAGCTGAATTTCGAAGATCCAATCTCGGGAAAAGACAAGCGGACCAGGGTGGATTCGAACCACCATTGACATGGCGTTCAAGCACAGGTGCTCGATGCAATGACGCCTTATCCATTAGGCGACTGGTCCTGAGTGCCCATGGACAACAAAAGAAGTTAGCAATCAAATCAGTGACGACGGAGTGGAGATGTGGTGATGGGGGTGATGGTGGGGGTGATGGTGGAGATGATGGTGGAGATGATGATGGAGATGATGATGGAGATGATGATGGAGAAGATGATGGAGATGATGAGATGATGATGGATGATGATGGAGATGATGATGGAGATGATGGTGGAAATGATGGTGGAGAAGATGATGGAGAAGATGACGGAGAAGATGATGGAGAAGATGATGGAGAAGATGATGGAGAAGATGATGGAGAAGATGATGGAGAAGATGTGGAGAAGATGATGGAGATGATGATGGAGATGATGATGGAGATGTTGGTGGAGAAGATGATGGAGAAGATGATGGAGAAGATGATGGAGAAGATGATGGAGAAGATGATGGAGTGATGGAGAAGATAATGGAGAAGATGACGGAGAAGATGATGGAGAAGATGATGGAGACGATGATGGAGAAGATGATGGAGAAGATGACGGAGAAGATGATGGAGAAGATGATGGAGAAGATGATGGAGAAGATGATGGAGAAGATGATGGAGATGATGATGGAGATGATGATGGAGATGTTGGTGGAGAAGATGATGGAGAAGATGATGGAGAAGATGATGGAGAAGATGATGGAGAAGATGATGGAGACGATGATGGAGAAGATGATGGAGAAGATGACGGAGAAGATGATGGAGATGATGGAGAAGATGATGGAGAAGATGACGGAGAAGATGATGGAGAAGATGATGGAGAAGATGATGGAGAAGATGATGGAGAAGATGATGGAGAAGATGATGGAGAAGATGATGGAGATGATGATGGAGATGATGATGGAGATGTTGGTGGAGAAGATGATGGAGAAGATGATGGAGAAGATGATGGAGAAGATGATGGAGAAGATGATGATGATGGAAGATGACGATGAGAAGATGATGGAGAAGATGATGGAGAAGATGATGGAGAAGATGATGGAGAAGATGATGGAGAAGATGATGGAGAAGATGATGGAGACGATGATGGAGAAGATGATGGAGAAGATGACGGAGAAGATGATGGAGAAGATGATGGAGACGATGATGGAGAAGATGATGGAGAAGATGACGGAGAAGATGATGGAGAAGATGATGGAGAAGATGATGGAGAAGATGATGGAGAGAGATGATGGATGATGATGGAGAAGATGATGGAGAGATGATGAAGATGATGGAGAAGATGATGGAGGAGAAGATGATGGAGAAGATGATGGAGAGATGATGGAGAAGATGATGGAGAAGATGATGGAGAGATGATGGAGAAGATGATGGAGAAGATGATGGAGAAGATGATGGAGAAGATGATGGAGAAGATGATGGAGAAGATGATGGAGAAGATGATGGAGACGATGATGGAGAAGATGATGGAGAAGATGATGGAGAAGATGATGGAGAAGATGATGGAGACGATGATGGAGAAGATGATGGAGAAGATGACGGAGAAGATGATGGAGAAGATGATGGAGAAGATGATGGAGAAGATGATGGAGAAGATGACGGAGAAGATGATGGAGAAGATGACGGAGAAGATGATGGAGAAGATGATGGAGAAGATGATGGAGAAGATGATGGAGAAGATGATGGTGGATGATGGTGGTGGATGATGATGATGATGACCATCCCTCCAACGTACACCATGTCCTTGTCAGTCGGATTGAGGGCGAATCATTGCACGGCGCACCGGCAAACCAATCAGGCGCCACCTTGGGCATGAGCAAGCTCTGCCTGAGCCAGTGGGTCCAATGAGTTGAAGTGAAAATTTACATCCAGCTCGTTCGGCAACGACCGTTGCCCGAAGAAAAAAACAAAACACTGGCAAGACCCATTCTCCCACCCAGCCACGATGCCAAATCGTCTCAACAGTTAATCTCGTGGTTGCGGTTTGAAGTACGCGTCCTGGTATGCACGCTGAACGCAAAGAAGGTCAACATGTGAGTTTTGTTTGGATCCTAGTGCGTTCCGCTTTCATGCAAACCAGTTGAAAGAGTCAAACAAGAATCACGGCTGCATACAATTTCCCTTAAACAACATCACCATGGCAAAACCACAGCCCCCGGGGCGGGGGTGCCGACCCAGAAGACACCTCAGGCAGTCTAAGACAGCCGCATGACCTTGCCCATGACATTCTCCATCATGTGCAGGGCCTGGGTTCCGCAAACTGGACTGTCGAGTTGCCAATTGAGCCGCCTGCAAGGCCTGCCAAGGCTTTTCTGCCACTGGCACTCAACACGCGCCCCTGGCATCGTCAAAGCTTGCTGATCATTTGTAGCTGCTAATCGATATTTCACGTTCTCATCAAAGAGTCAAATAAGAAGCTTGACGTGCCTGCGCCACCAAGCAGAGGCTGGCTCAACATCTGGACTTGTTGCATGGTTTTGAATTAGACTATCCCAGAATCACACCTAGCGATTACCCAGCCTGATTTCTTGTTGGAGCACATTTCATCAGGGGACCACAACAACTAGCAGTGCGGCTCATTACAAACATAGACTTTGCGGTGAAATCTGCCTGTCTATTAGAGGTCAGGCTCAGGGGTACCTAGGTACTCCTTGTGGCTAAGCCAGGCATTGCCGTGGGCCTCGTTTGCCACAGCAAAGAACCGGTTCCCTTCAACCCATGGGCGAGCTCAGCCAGTTGAACAGGTGCACATGTATTGGTACCTTCTGCTACTCTAGGCATAGGCCTTTATGTGTTTAGGTAAGTCTGCACTTCTGGCAAAAAGCGAAGCATATCCCGAGGGCTCAAAAAACTGAGACACTGGCACTCATATTGTTTGGAAGAGTAGCTCTGGGAACAAAAGCGAGCAAAGGCAAGTACAGGCATGGTGCTCCCTGCCTCCATGCAAGTCAAGCGTGTCTAGTTCGGGACAAAGGCCTAAGTCTGGGAGTTGTTGAACGGGCCTTGACCGTTTGCACATACCACTGATGTACCTGGTCTGCAAGGGACATGTAAAGCTTCTTTGCGGGCTTCATTACCATCAGCGGATTCTCGAGTTCCGTCTGCAGTTTGCCCAGGCAAATCTCAGCCGGCGGCACTCGCCATGATGCCCATGACCCAGACAGAACAAAAAGTGTCAGGTGGACTTTGATTGCGGCTTCTGTCGGCTTTGACTGCTTTTTGGATCCCTCATGAAAGGTCTCCGGGAAGAATGAATGAGGCCGTCACTGTTCGCAGAGTCACAGAGCTGGCCGTTGGTCCAAATTGAAATCTGTGAGCCCAGGGGGAATGCTGAATTCACGGGCGTGCGAGGCAAGTGCTATGGGTTCAATGACAAAGGGGTCGAACCAGTACCTGCTTCGATGCTACCTCATGCCAGGACCAGGCTTTTCAAACCAAGTTCCAAGCATAGAAATACACGGAGCTGCTTGGTGTGGAAGAGCAAGCACTTGGTCGACAAAATCTATCCACAGGAGCAAACGTAGACAAGTAAAGAGCAGCAAAGCTGCTGAGATGTGCAAACAATGTCTACCGCAGAACAAACAACAGTCATGTAGCTTTCGCTTGCTTCAAGCCCCTAAGCCAATGTAGCTACATACTAAACTCAGCACAAGTATGAAGCAACACGCAGCGGCACAAACGAGCAAACTCAACCCAAGACTTGGGGACCCAAGATCTGCTCCGCCATTTTCACACTCACATTTATTTGTACAGGCAATTCGGGACATTACGATGGCATTCAATCTCATGACAGGTTGGATGCAGAAGAAGACGCTCCAACCGAAGTAAGGGGTCCAACTTCCAGGATCAGTGGACTTAACGCTGTGACTCTACGCCAAAAATGCCCAGCATGCTTTGACGCTGAGCAACACGCTCCGTTCCTTTCCGAAAAGAAAAACAAAAAAGACACCTAGGACTGGGCATCGATCTTGTTCCACACACCGCTGGGCAGGTCCTGGAACTTCTCCGCATAGACATCCATCTTGAAGAGCCGCGCACGCAACATATCGCTCTTCTCCGCCACGTCGTTGATGTTGTCGATCAGACTCTGGTAGTCTTGCTGCAGCTGCGTCGCATACTTGTTCTCGTACTTGTGCGTGTTCGCCTTGGAACAAGAAGAGCGAACTGATCTCAACTGACCGACTTTACTTGCAGCGGTCACTCCCCTAATGATACGTAATCAGCAAATGCAGCATGCACTTGCGACAATTTATATGTCCATATTTTTCACAAAGAACATCATAAGCTGCGATTGCGCATGAAAGGCTATCCAATCTAAAAATACTCTTGCAATCTCCACTTGACAAACACAACTGGATTTACAGTACGCAAATGACAATTCTTGGATTTGCAGGTTATTGAACTTCCCATTCACACTTTATGTTAACAATTTCCGAAATGGCCCTGAATAGGTAAGAAAGATCAAATCATTGCAATCCCTTCCCCGTAAAGCCGGGCTTTCCGAAGAGGTTGGCGTCCTACCCTGGAAGTACACCATGTGCCTGATTTCCTGTGCTGAAGCAACAGATTCTGAGCGCAGCCTTGATTCAGCAATGCCGCATGTCTCGTTTCAAAACCAAAATCGGCGCATGTCCCGGCCTTCAGGCTCATTTTGAGCGAGTTTGCGGGGCTCAGCACAGGCCCGTCAGGCCTCTTCTCAGGCAACGGGAAGGTGCCGTTGGCCTTCCAGCGTTCAGGATGCTCGCCATGTGGGCCGTAGGGAGAGGAGGTGATGGTGTTCCCCACACCCCAACGCTTTCGGTCCACAATGGTGTTGTAGTTCCACACGGCGTCCATCTCCTGCGCGACTGCGAGTCAGGGGTTGGGAAGCATTGGCCAACATGAAGGGCCACATCATGTGCCTTGCTTCCAACTCTGCCCAAACCTGAAAGCATGTGCTGCAGCACCTGGCCTTGGCTGTGGGCTTTAACATGCCCCCACCATGGAGACTCCAACGGCGTACTCACAAATCGAACGTCCTTGTTCAGGTAGATTAGGATTTTGTTCACATACTTGGCACGCGGCGGCAGCTCCTCTGACTCGGACAGTGTACTGCGCCTGCGGCTGCCAGTCGTAGCCAGCTCGTCAGTTTCCTCCTGCAGCAGGGACTTGCGGTTCCAAACCACAAAGGAGCCGGTTGCATTCTCCACTTTCTCCATGGTGTAGTTCACGAACCTCCGGATATTGGAGCAAACCCATGCAATCCCGCGCGACTTCCAAATACGCGGGACACACTGTCACAGTGCTTTCAACACTTCAGTATCCACGCGTGCATATACACACATATATGTGTAAGATCCTCACATCACCTTCACTTTGGAGCCATCGAATACATACGGTGTTGAAACTGTCCAGTCAAGCAATGGCAGCAAGAAAGGCAACACAATCAAGCTACAATATAACAACGTGCAGTATGTTTGGTAGCCCTGAGCCTCAGAAATCATGCAAGCTCGGCAGCATGTTCATTGATGACCTGAACGTGAAATTAAGTTGAATTCAACTCATGGACACGGCTTCGGAACCCTTAACATGTCCAGCATCATTCAGTCACACCTGCAAGAGATTCTGGCCCAGCAACAACTCCAGTTGCTCAAGGTTTTTGTAGTTGGCGACAATGGGCTTCTGTAGCGGCGCGAGGATGCGCTTGAAGTGAGTCTTCTCAGCCGAGCTGATGTCTTTCAGCCACCCGGCTTCTGACTCCTGCTCAACATAAAGCTCTGCTAGGCAGTTGTGCAACTGCAACTTGATTGATGATTCTCGAGGCAGCAAACAACCAAGCCAGCGATACAACCGCAAAACAAATTGTTTGAAAGCAACAACCACAAAGACGGCGATGACGACGTCAACAACGACAACGACAACAACGACAACAACGACAACAAAGACAACAACGACAACAACGACAACAAAGACAACGACGACAACAGCGACAACAATGACGACGATAACAACAACACATCAAGCATCTTGGCAACCATCTAAACCACCAACCAGCCAGCCAGTCAGCCAGCCAGACTCAACGAAACATCCAAACAAGCTGCGATCCCCCCAAACTACTTCATCCATCAATCTACCAGGACACAATTCAAGTCACTTGCCCATTCTCCTACCCATTATCAAACGATCCAGCAAGCAAGCAACGACAAGCAACACGTCAGTCGATTCAGGTCAAGCAGGTTGCCAATGCTTGCCCGGATGTGAAGCCAAGATTTGATAGCTTTCTAACAACTCATTCCACGCGGTATAACTCGGCTCGGGCACGTGGTTGCATTGGTCCGTTCAAGTGTTCAAACAGGTTTCCAGCCATCTATGGTTTGGTTTGGTTCTATGGTTTGTACATTGTGGCTTGGTTCAATCTATGGTTTGTCTTGAACATTTTGCAGTAGGTTTGGTTCCATGTTTCCAGCCATCTATGGTTTGGTTTGCTTCTATGGTTTGTACATTGTGGTTTGGTTCAATCTATGGTTTGTCTTGAACATTTTACAGTAGGTTTGGTTCCATGTTTCCAGCCATCTATGGTTTGGTTTGGTTCTATGGTTTGTACATTGTGGCTTGGTTCAATCTATGGTTTGTCTTGAACATTTTACAGTAGGTTTGGTTCCATGTTTCCAGCCATCTATGGTTTGGTTTGGTTCTATGGTTTGTACATTGTGGTTTGGTTCAATCTATGGTTTGTCTTGAACATTTTACAGTAGGTTTGGTTCCATGTTTCCAGCCATCTATGGTTTGGTTTGGTTCTATGGTTTGTACATTGTGGTTTGGTTCAATCTATGGTTTGTCTTGAAAATTTTACAGTAGGTTTGGTTCCATGTTTCCAGCCATCTATGGTTTGGTTTGGTTCTATGGTTTGTACATTGTGGTTTGGTTCAATCTATGGTTTGTCTTGAAAATTAAGGACTACTGAGTTTCCGGGATGGTGAGGCG